CCTTCGTAGTTTGCACTATCGTGTAGCCAACGTTCGATACCAAGGTGCAACATACAATGGAGGGAACAAAACAAAGATCTCCCACGAATTTTTATCTTCGGGTGTAAACATCAAACCATCTAACTTACGTTTGAAATCCAAAATATGACTATTATACAAACGGTCTCATAATCATGAACTAATTTTGACAGGAAGTTCTCCAAAACATCATATGGAACAAAAGATGATCTCCTTCGTCAATTAACCTGAATAGCAAAACGTTGATAAATAGTACTTTCTGTACATTCCTGACGTTACAAAGTAAGGGGTGTATATCCTAGTTGGAAACGAACATCCCTTTCGCACAAGGAAACGGTAGACTTGTACATGTACACGATGTCGAGCGCATCGATCCTGTAGAGGGAACCCTCCCGGCCGCGTCACACAGGATTTTGCGGGCTTTGTCCCGAAGAGCGTTTTGCCACTTCAGCCACGTGCGACAACCGTACCTCTCGGGAACCCCTATGATAGGTAGAACTTTCCTCCACCCGTGCCAGTTGTCACAATCCCTTAGGTGGGTGTATCCCCACTTAGCTGCCGAACCATATTCGAAGGTTTTTTGTATGCAATCGCAGAGGTGGTCCAATCAAGGGCGTTTCTTATTCGCTGTACTGTAAGGGGTCGTGTGGTCCGAATCGGACCCCTACACTAATCTTCACCCGTAGTTTTGATCTCTCGAGCACGATCCGACGCCGGTCAACTAAGACGGCCATATCTAACAACAAGATACATCTTAGGAAATAAAATCGAAGTTGTACGTAAAATGCGTATAGTCCTTTTTCCCACATCTTACTCATAACCTTATATGAAAGAATTAGAGGGCACGAAGGTCTGAATACATATGATCGCAGACAAAGGCAGATCACAAAATCACTCTCACAATCAACAATGGGACTCGCTTCAAACTATACATATGATCGCTCACAAAGTCAGATCTAGACTTCAACCCACAACACATACATGTTATCACATCAAGAAATTTCACATTGATATGCGCACACTATATGGTGTCAACTTCAACCAGTCTTTGCACTTACACCCCTTGCCTTATTCATACAAGCCTCAACCTTTGCCGAACACTAAAAAAAAACACGTAGCCTTTTTTAAATGATTATTCAGTAAACGTTTGGTTGAAAAGCCAAAGAAACAAATCAACCCATACGGGTGAAGGCCTTAGGTTGAGCAGCGAGAAAGAGTTTTTGAGTTAGTGGCAGACTGCGGCAACAACCTGTAGGGAGAACACAGTAACAGAAAAGTGGTACATGCGTACTTAGAAAACATCCATCAAAAGCAGCGACAAACTCGAAGAAACGTCACAATGAGTACAAAACGAAAACAGTTTTTGCAAGCTCAAATTCACAGCTCCCAAAAAGATTACTCAAACTTCACGCTACGCACCATTACTGTCACCATAGCTATCTCTCCCAGGGTACGACAAAGTAGTTCCCTTCTACCGATTTCGTCCGCGTACTCAACGGACTCGTCAGGAAGACGCACCCTCTTAGGCACTTCTGTCGAAGTAAAGAGGCCTAGTGCCTTGCCTCTGAATCATCATATGCTTTCTGGTCGTAGCATTTCTACGTACGTTCCGAAGAAAAAAAAAAAAATAATATCCGAGAATTTTCAAGAGTTTCCGACTGTACCGTAAACCGTCTCGACGCGCATCCCGCTTTCGGCCGTACCACCGCCTCGCCGGGAAACTCAAAGATAAAAAAAATAAAAATAAAATAAAAATAAAAATAAAAATAAAAATAAAAAACGGCACAAAATTTTTAAAAGAGCCTCATTGCGCCATCTGGCAGTACCCAGCTTAGTACCCTCACATATTAAGGCGCTTCACCCCGAAAACTGTTTTGGTAGTTACACTGCCCGGTCCTGCCTAGTCGCGGTTGAGGAAAAATGTCGGACGAAACTTGTCGCTGACTGGGTCCTTGTCTGCGGATCTTCTTTTGATCCCAAAATAACTGAAAAACACCCCACAACTTTCTCAAAATTTTGTAGCCCGTAACCTTGGCCAATTTGGCCAAGGCCCCCAGAGAAACCTCCGGGGTGTAACCCCAGAGGATACTCTCTGTCATCGCATATGCCACGAAGCTGGTTGCCAGGGTGTGTGCTGTTGACGAGTACCACAACCTCTTAAAAGTGGCCGAGAGAACTCCCTTTTTAGTTCGCTTATCAGAGTAGCTCGCGTAGTCCTGCATGAACTGGTACTGGAGCGTACCCCCACAGCGCAACGCTTTGCAGTTCTTTGTCTTTTGGATGAAATGCACCTGGGCCGGCTCAGCCATAATGTACATCCTCCCTCCGATGAACTGCCAGGAGTTAGTGCCTTCGTTTTTCCGGACAAGCTTCAACTCTTCATCATATATGCTCTCGAATCTCTGGAGAATCCTCTCCGCTCTCTCCCAGGACTCCTTCTCTCCATTGCAGCTGACCACTATGGAGACGTCGTCTACCATCCTCCACCCCATCACTAGTCTCCTGTCCGCCCCAAGACTTGACAGGTACCTGGCTTCCGCCATCGCACATGTTATCGTGGCTAATACTGGGCTCGTGGTCTTCCCCATGGGGATTCCCACAAGTTGTCTTCTGATCACGTCCCCGTGCATCATATAAGCGTGCGAAAGATCATACTCCACCATAGTGCGCAGCATCTCCAGTTTCACTGTGGTGTATCCCTCCTCCCTCCATGTCGTTTTCGACATCTGACACAACTTCCCCCTGTTTGCTATTCTCACCTGCCTCCAGCCCAACTCCTCAAAATGCATGATTAACTCTGACACAGCATCCTTCACAGACGAGTGGGATAACGAGGAGAACATCTCCTTGACGTCGTAGCACCTTCCCATCGCCATACTGCATCCTTCTTTCTATAGAGGGCTTTCCGCCTGGTCAAGTTCTTCCTTCATATCATATGCAGATTTTATATGAAAATTCCTCACCCGTGAAAACCTCGTAATAAGGCAATTCAGGGCCCTTGCACACCTGCGCTGTGCCATTACTGTCGGATCCCCGCATGCTGGCGCAATCGGTCTCCAGTATTGTAGGTCTTTGTCCTTTGGTAACACGTACTCCTTTCCCAGACTCCCATCCTTCTTCCATTTACCCAACTCACTAAGATCGCCCTCCTCATAGTCCCGTTTGCTCGTAGCCAGGACCTCCGTCTCTGATGCGGCCACAGTCTCATAGCCAGGGTTCCATGTGAACGTTTTCCCGAAGGCGTGCTTGTAAGGGATCGGACAGATCAGCGCCGTATCTCCGGGATTTCTGTTCACTGGAGCCAGGACCAGCCCTTCATACTGTAATGCCCAGTCTCTCACTTGCCTCTCTGTCCAAGCCGCACGCCTGTCCCCAATTTCTTGGAAGCAGGTTGCTACATCCAGTTCGCGCATACACTTTCCAAGATAAGCCGTTGCTGTGCTGATGCCCTGCAAAATGTCTTCCCTGCTATTTTGTCTATCCAACTTCGTTACATTCTTGGAATTTCGCACAAAAAACGGTGTCTCCTCAATATCAATCAGTCTTGTCAGCACGTGCCCCTCGTGTTTTTTCACGTGAAAACGCTCACATGGACATACGACCGAACGCGTGTGAGCGAAGCTCCTATGGTTATGTACGATACTTGCTACCGACCGGTTCTTCGTGCACACAAGTCTCACCTACTTCTTGATGAACGTGGCTACAACTACATCTAGGAGTTTCTCATCTATCACCTCCTCAGTCTTCCTCCTAACCTCTGACTGCAGTACGAACGCATCAAAAGGGTACTTAACTGTCACTCTTCGACGTATGCTAACACCTGTCTTCCTCTTCAGAACACGGTCAATCTTAATCTTCATCCTTTTCCTTGTCTCTTTCTTTCCGAAGAAACCTGCGACTCTGTAAAGGCCTACCAGCTTCTTTGTTGGAGATCTTGCCAGCGCCGTCACTTGCCTAGGATGCTTGAGTAGACTCAGTAGCTCGTGTTTGTACTGCTCCGTCGTAATTGACGTCTTGCGGATCTTCACGAAAGAAACTTCCTCTCCAACCTCGCACAACTTTTTCGCTTGCTTCTAAAACATTGAACGACCCCCGATCTTGACCTCCGACATCCCGAACTGTGTCTTTACATTCCTCCACCCATCCGCCCAGGTTAGGCCTGATGTGAAGACAACCTCCTGCTTCCCATCTCCTGCTCTGTGTGTTTCATGCAGCCAGTTCAGGATCGATGTGCGCTCACCCACTTGTGTAGCGAACTTCATGATTGGTAAGCCTACTGTTCTTCGACCTTTCTTCTTCCGTTCTCTCCTCCCCTTCCGTTGTCTTGTGTTCTTCCTATATTTCCTCCCTGTCCCCAGTGTGTTCAAACTGGGGGACAAATCTCTGATCAGATGTCGCTCGAAGCTAAAATCGTCCTTCTCAGTAGTGTGCCTTAGCGGGAGTACCGTGAACTTGTCTACCCCGAACGACCTCATCCAACGATGCAGTGCGGTGTTTTTCCCAGCGCATTCGAAGTGGCTGCGTGTACATGTTCTCTCCATCTCTACATAATCGGCCGCGTCGTACATCCTACGTACACTCTCTTCGCCCACGGGCTCACTATGATATATGTCCCACCAGTGCGTAACTCCATCATATCTTCGTCCACATCTGCTTTATCCAAATATTTGGATAACCATTTAATCTCCCCTCTAATTCCGAGTAGCATTGTTGTCGTCGAGATTCTCCGGTCTACTTCCGCCATTGGTTCTCCTTTCTTCCCTAGCCCCCGTAGGGTCTGCCTAGTGTCCATGTGCGTCCTCAAATACGCCCACAACTCACTGGTCGTAGGGGGCTCACCTAATCAACCCGACTCCTGTTCTCTTGTCGGAGCAAATCTGATGATCGTCCTTGGCGGGACGAACGTCTTAGCCTTCCCACGCGTCTCCACTACCTTCTTCGTGACCTTTCGTGGCGTCTTGTTTGGTGTCTGCTCATCCTAGTCTTTAATCTTGACTTCATTCTTCCCTTTCGGCGTCTCGAAGGCGCCTCCGTACGCTCACTCAGTTTGTCTCCTTACCAGTTCCATTATCATCTCATCCTTCTCTACAGCCTTTATACCCTCTTTATCGCATATCTCTTGAAGATGATGCACCTTCTTCGCTGAGGAAGCCTGCATCACCTGTAACGTATAGTCGAGGAAACCCTCTTCAGAACAGCCCGCTACTATCCCTTTATAGCCTCCGGTGAGTGGCGTTCTTGGCTCATCCTCCCCCGTCAACGTGGATGTCGACTTCTTCGAACACTCTCTTTTCTCGCACGTCCTTGCTGGTGCCTTTCTCACAGGTCTTCCCCGTGCCTTCTTTCTCTTCGACTTAACTCTTCTCTTTTCTTCTCGTAGAAGTCTTACCATTCTCAACAAATCCTCCTCGGAATCTTCGCTAGAGTCACTCGATGCTGAATCGCTAATCTCCGAGTCCGAAGACGTGGACGAGTCAGTGCTTTGTTTGCTCGATCTCTTTTTAGCATGTCTTCTCCGTACTGGCCTCTTCGACTTCGCCCTGAATATCGTCCTACTTCGCGGTGACACTTTCGGGCTTCCGTTCTTCACAGTCTTCGTTTTTAAATAACTCTCTCGAACCTTATTCGCCATCTCTTCCTGTTGCCTCCGCCACGTGTCGTCGATGTCCGATTGCAGCTGCAATTTCATCTCTTCAATCCTTCTTGCTATATCTAGCTCCCTCTTCCTTTCCTTTTCTTCTTCCCTTCGCTTCTGTTCCTCCTCCGCCCGTTTCTTTTTTTCCTCCTTTTCTTCCATCAGATCCCTCACAAACACATGCACCTCATCATCTTGCTGGCCCGATCTTCCTCGTTTCGACCAACAATCCCGAGCCATATGGCCAGTCATCCCACACTCATAGCACGTCATCCCACCTTTCCCCATGACCCACCATTGAAATTGTCGATATTGTTGTTCCCATTTCCATTATTCATGTTGTTATTCATGTTGTTCGCACCTTTCGTCGTGTAGTCGCTACTCCTCCCGTCCTTAATGCCGCTCTATTCTTACGATTTTACTACTTCTCTTCTTCGACTAATCCTCGTCCTCCTGGCTTGGAATAAAACTTCGTCCTCCTAGGTAACTTTTCTTCGACTACTCCTCGCCCTCCAGGCTTGAACTAAAATTTTGTCTTCCTGGCTAACTCTTTATCTCTAGGCTAACATAGCCACCGTGAGGCTCAAAGAAAGACTCCGGTTACTACGTTCCCACGAAGTGGCAGACTGCGGCAACAGCCTGTAGGGAGAACACAGTAGCAGAAAAGTGGTACATGCGTACTTAAAAAACATCCATCAGAAGCAGCGACAAACTCGAAGAAACGTCACAATGAGTACAAAACGAAAACAGCTTCTGCAAGCTCAAATTCACAGCTTCCGAAAAGATTACTCTCACTTCATGCTACGCACCATTACTGCCACCATAGCTATCTCTCCCAAGGTACGACAAAGTAGTTCCCTTCTACCGGTTTCGTCCGCCTACTCAACGGACTCGTCAGGATGGCGCACCCTCTCGGGCACTTCTGTCGAAGTAAAGAGGCCTAGTGCCTTGCCTCTCAATCATCATATGCTTTCTGGCCGTAGCACTTCTACGTACGTTCCTAAGAATAGAAAAATAATAATATCCGAGAATTTCCGAGAGTTTCTGACTATACCGTGAACTGTCTCGACGCGCATCCCGCTTCCGGCCGTACCACCGCCTCGCAACGTATTCAGGCCGGGAAACTCAAAGATAAAATAAAATAAAATAAAATAAAAAATGAAAGAAAATAAAAAGAAAATAAAAAACCACACAAAATTTTTTAAAGAGCCTCATTGCGCCATGTGGCAGTACCTGGCTTAGTACCCTCACATATTAAGAAGCTTCACCCCGAAAACTGTTTTGGCAGTTACACTGCCCGGTCCTGCCTAGTCGCGATTGAGGAAAAATGTCGGAAGAACTTGTCGCTGTCTGGGTCCCTGTCTGCGGATCTTCTTTTGATCCCAAAATAACTGAAAAACACCCCACAGTATTATCAAAAGTTCGTAGCCCGTACCCTTGGCCAATTTGGCCAAGGCCCCCAGAGAAACCTCCGGGGTGTAACCCCGGAGAATACTCTCTGTCATCGCATATGCCACTGAGCTGGTTGCCAAGGTCTGTGTTATTGACAAGTACCACAGCCTCTTAGGAATATAACAAGACGTGATCCTCATAGGAACAAACTGAAACTAGTTAGGTTTTGAATCGAAATGACCAAAGAAGACTTGTAACATAACACAAACCAAATTGCAAACTAAAATATAAGTGTGTCGATAATAAAATCCTATATCACATCTCACTAAAATTCTCCTGAGACTGAGTTTATACTTCCCTCTAAATCGATGCTAAAAGAATGAGAAAAATTTCGGCAACATCTCCCCAATACAGAATGAATTGCCAACATTCTCCCTGTCAGAATATAATCCAACTTTTCAAAACCAAGAAAATTTTGACAACACCCCCCCCCCAAAAAAATGCATTTTTGTAATTTATATTTAGCAAAATTTGAAATATAAAAGCAATCTTTAACTTTACAAAGTCCAATTTTGGGTAAATCTCTATTTAGTGAAAATTTTTGCAACATCTGCTTTAGAGAAGTAGGTTTCCTGAATTTGAAAAAAGTTAGATGTACACTCAAGATAAAACTTCAGTCCTGCCAAGACCACATTTAACTAAATCTTTATTTGCAAAAATTTTGGCAACACTCCTTCTAGAAAAGTGACTTTCTAAAAATTGCACAAAGCTAAATACAAAATATGAAAATAAATATAACTTCACGAGGCAAATCATGTCTAACTCTCTGATGTAGGAAAATGTTGGGCAACACTTTCCCTATAAAAGTAGGTACCGCAGATTTTTACTCACCGAGATATGAAACTCAGACAAAAGTTGAATTTTGTTAAGACAAAATTTAACCAACTCCCTGGATTTGCATAAATTTGGGCAACACTTCCCTTAGCGAAAGTGCATTTGCAAAATTCATACAAAGTTAAATATGATAAATAAACTTAACTAAAAAAATAAAAGAATTGAACTAGCTCCAATAGTTGTAGGACGTGGCGAGCACCTATCAAAGTTAAGCCTCAGAAGAAATATAGCTTACACTCAACCACATGCAAGTCCATGCCATAATGAGTAAGTACTGTCACAAAAAAAATCCCAAGTTGTTTAAATAATTTATTAACTCTCAATCAAGTTTGACGACGTTCACAAACGGGCCGAATGTTCGAACCCGAACGGCCGAATGTTCGGCACCCCCTCTCGATGCATTTGGCCGTTCGGCCGAACGCGGAACAACCCCCCCCCCCCCCCCAAAAAAAAAAAATCTCAAAAATCTTTAAAATATATATGTAATGCATAAGAATAAACTAAACAACATTTGTTTCAACATTACATCCAAATTCTTTACCAAAGTGAAAATAAAAATCAAATACAAAAAAAAATAATAGTAATAAAAATAAAAAAAAATAAAATGAGGATGAAATTATTGAGTGGGCGAACATTTTTTTGACACCGCCATCTTTGGCGATTTTTCATTTTTGTTTTCGTTATGATGAATGCTATGAAAATTTGTATATGTGTATCTTACTTAATAGAGAATCGACAAATAAAGTAAACATCCCCCGAAATAAAGGAAAAGCAAAAAGTGAAAAGATAAAGAAAACAAATTAAATGAGTGGACAAAAAAGTTTTGACACCAACATGTTTTAGGATTTTAATTTTTTTTTGGATAGACAGAATGACTTCAAAATTAAGAAGGAGGTAGCTAACATCACAAAGAACCCAAAAACAATATTTCGGGAAAAATAATAATATTTAGCTGGCAAAATATTTTTTTGCGCAGTCGAAACCCCTTTAAGTTCGGGCCCCGTACGGGGACCTGAACGTTCGGGGGTCACCTTAGGGGTCTCCGTACGTTCGGCCTGACACTCAATTATATAAACACCAATATCCCAATTTACATAGGGCATAAAAAAGACTAGACCATTCAACTTAAAAACAATATCCAGTCTTTGTCGTATTTATAAACAAAACATAAGACGTAATATGATTTCGCTCTTCATTGGGCATATGACTAAATTATGCAATTTAAAAATCATGCTTAATCGGCTTGAACCATTTAATATCAAAACTTTATATATCTTTTTCACTTAATTATCAAAGATGTGGGTCTAAGACAGAACCATTTAACGTAGAAACAGTGTTTAGTTTGATTGGATTTGATTTTTTTATTATACTCTTAATTGAATACTCTTTTTTTTTAGTGATAAGACTATAATCAGACCATTCAACTTAGAAACCCTGTTTAACCAGCTTATTCATAAAAAATATATATAATACAAAATATAAGGAAAACGTTTCTCACAATTCTCTGTCTGAGTGCACAACCACTCTGACTAAGTCATTCAACTTAAAAACAATACTTCTCTATCTCAGTTCCTTCAGAAAGAAACACATAAATAGTTAAGTCATTCAACTTAGAAACAATACTCGATTCCCTCTTCCAAAATTTCAAAGAAAAGTAGAAATCCCATGCCATTCAACCTCGAATCAATACCAACGTCCATTAACAAACCTTCAAAAAAAAAGTACGTAGACCAAACCATTCAGTTTAGAAACAAATATTTGGTTCAGAAAAACAACCCATGCATGTCCCCGAAACAAAACCATAACAACCAGAGACTTTAACTTGTAAATATTTATATGACCCATTAGAAGGCAAACCAAAACAATATAATAGTCAGAACATTCAACTTAGAAACAATGTCTAACCCTTTGTGTAACCCACAATCTCAATAAAAACTACATTACTCTCAATTCGCCCCCAGTTCATCCTTTTTTCCTTCCGAGATTCACTTAATTTCGTGTACACGTTTTTTTACCTTTCTCTGAATTAAGTTCATAAATTCACCCCCCTGCAGAAGCGTGTTCATCATTTTTTCCTCATGAATTTCAAACATAATAAGAAAGTAATACTTAATTTCATGTACACATTCTTTGAAATTAAGTTCAGAAAAGTTAAGTTCAGAAATTCAACCCCCTGCAGAAGCGTGTTCATCCTCTTTTCCTTCTGAATAACTTCGTGGCGACACAAAGGCTACAGTCATTGAAGCCAAGGCGACCTGCGAGCTTGCTCGATTGATTTTGTGACATTAGTGATGCTTTTATATGTCGCAGACTGCACCACTTCGCCTCAATCGATAGTATTCATTTCATTCAAGTAAGAGTTATTTACTATTATTTATTGTGATTTCAATTAACAAAAAACTTCTTTCTGTAAAAACCCGCTCCACAAAATAGAAGTTTCATTTTGTTTTTTAGCTCAAGTGATAAGAGTCACAAAAAACACACGAAGGTGTTTAAAAATTTCGAATCAAACATAATAAGAAAGTAATACTTAATGTAATGTACATGTTCTTTTACCTTCCTTTGAATTAAGTTCATAAAGTCACCCCCTGCAAAAGCGTGATCGCCTTTCTAACTCAAAATACTTCCCTTCAGGTCAAACCGCCTTTACGTAGCCTAAAAGAGTTGCATTCAAATAAAGCACCACCCTATGTTCTATCCGAATTGCAGACGAAACGCAAAAAAGTCTAGCTAAATACTACGCGCACTACAACTGTGCGCAACAACATGGCACAATAACAATGCACAAAGCCAAAATAGAGTAAGTCATAACGTATACAGCAACAAGACGCGGTGCAATTTGTAGCTTAAGCACAACAATTCTAACAAAAATAAAAAATACATCGTTGCCATATCGATCGCTCGATTTGTAGCAAACAGCAATAAACTAACAACAACAACAATATCGAACTAGAGGAACTACTCTAGCTTCGTAGTCTACGTAATCAATAGTTTCCTTCCATAGACAATCATATCCACACTTGAAACCTACAACAACACAACAAAACTCAGTGTGTACAACCGTCGTGCGGCACAATACACAAAACACT